CCCCAAAACCCCAAAACCCCAAAACCCCAAAACCCCAAAACCCCAAAACCCCTAGGGCTTATTTAAGTATGGAATGGAATTATTAAAATAATATATCTAGAATAAAGATGAAAACTCTGGCTCCTTCCCAGATAAGGGAGGTAGAAAGTATTTTAGCTGAGCGGCATCCGCTTTATTATAATGGTAGCAAGCTTCATGATGTATTTCCGTTTTTAAAAGTATGGTTAAAAGATAATTTCATAGAATTTCAGATGATTTTATAAGCCAGATCGCAATGCTTCAGACACAGTTGCTCTATTAAGTGACCCTGATACATACGATCCTAACACAACTGAAGAGAGACGAATGGAACAATTGTCTTCGGATCAGATCCTTAAAGAACAGAAAAAGGCAGATAAGAGTTTTATGGACTTGGGATTTGGAACTATTGCTTACTTTGATATCCACTTTCAGCTAGCTATTATCTTCTTCATAATTTTGGTCCTATCCCTTCCTTCAATCTACCTCTTCGCCTTCTACTCAGAAGGAAACAGGCACTACAACGGTCTTCTACACTCCATTAGTATCGGAAATCTGGGGTTCTCCTCTACACTCTGAAAGGATACTTCTTTAGCTGTGAATAGGCTTAATTTAATCTGTGCGACGGGTCGGATAGAAGAAATTGTGGATTTTGGGGTGATCCCGAACGACGCTAGTATTTTGGACGCCTGAATGGCCAATAGTGAGACTCGCCAGTGTGAAGGAGTTTATGAAGAGAAGAAAGTCAGGCAGAAGCTCCAGAGGGATTGTGTAGGAAGGAATTCATGTGTTGTGCGGCCTAGGGAATTTGTGAACGAAGGATTAGGGAAGTGTACTTCGAAGTATGCACAGTTCTTTGGGCAAGTTATGTGCAAGCATAGTGTGGGACAGTTGAAGGAGAGAGCGGAGATAGGTAACTCTTTGATGGTTCAAGCACTTTTGACAGCAGGCGTTTATTTAGCAGGAATGTGGTATATAAGAAAATCAACGAAGGATAGATATGAAGAATGGGACAGAAAGACAACCACTATTTCCGACTATACTGTGAAATATAATGTTCCTGAAGTAGTTTATAAAGATTTTTTATTGTCACATGGAATGTATACAAACTTTCAACCTTCTGATGGTGATATCTCAGCTGAGTTTGAACAGGAATCTCCTATCTATGCATTTAAGAAGGAGTTAAAAAGACAAGTTGAGGATAAACTTAGGCAATCGAGTCCAGTAATTTATGACAGTGATGATTTGATTGAAATATCTGAAATCAATTTCACTTTTATGAATACAGAAGTAATCAGCATGCTGATTGAGAGAGGAGACGCTCTTGATACTGAAAATGAATCTAAAGTTATAGAGATAGAGAACAAGATCAAAGATTACCTCAAAAATTTCAGTGACCAAGTCAGTACTCCTCAAGAGGCATATATTACTTTCAGGACTGAAGAAGCGTACTTAAGAGGAATCAGGATGGACTCAACCAGTATATGTGGTAGAGAAGTACCAAGAGAGACCTGGAAGGGTCATCCTTTTGTGCTTGAGCAGGTCCAAGAACCCTCAAATATATACTGGGAGAACAGACACACAAGTTTGGCGTGGAAACTGGGAAAACAGGTCATATCGACTGTAATTCTGATACTGATTCTAGCATTCTTCATTGTGATTCTTTTTTATACAATGAAAATTGCCAGTAGGATCAGAAGAGAGTATCCACAAGTTGATTGTGATGGAGTCAAAGGAGATCTCGTTGATGACGAAATGCTTGAACATATTGCTAAGACTGAATGGTTCCATAGACATAAATAGCCATGAAATAGGTGGAGGAGATCTTAAGCTCAGCACTTCAAATTTACAGTGATATTGTGATGATTTCAAACAAGATCTTGGGAGAAAAGAGACTATGAAGTTAACTGAAACAGTTGAAATTGGTGGAGAAATACATTCTGGTTTTATTTGTGAGGACTATTTAAAATCTGATAGGATACTATTTTTCATATCTCTTGTTGTCCCATTACTTATCATTGTAAGCAATCAAGTTATCAAGCATGTGTCAGTCTTTCTGTGCAAATGGATTGGATTTGACAAGAGAACTAATGAAATTTCTATGATTCAGATTTTATGATTTGCAATGTTATTCTTTAACAACGCTTTAGTCATCTTTCTTTTGAATGCTAGATTTGTAAATTTCCCTGTCTTCAATGAGCTTTTTGATGGAGACCATGAGGACTTTGACAACTCTTGGTATAGGGAAATTGCTCCTTTTATAATCTCTCCTATGTTTATCCAAATTATATTCCCTATTCAGAATTTTCTTCCAGATCTTGTAATCCAGCAAGGACTAGCTTGGCTTGATAGAAGGTTTACAAGCCAAAAATTGTACAAAACTAACTGAAATACTGCGTTGCAGTATGCGGAGTTAAATTCAGGTACTGATCATGCTCTATTTGAGAAGTACCCAAGATTGGTAAATATAGTGATGCTAAGCATGATGTATGCTTTTCAATTGCCTATTTTTCTCATTTTGACTTTCATATGCCTTATATTTTCATATATTTTTGACAAAGTTGCAGTGGCATATTATCACAGGAAGCCGCCCTTGTACGATGACACTCTGAATAACGTAAGCGTGCACATCATGAAATGGGGAGCTGCTTTTTACCTCTGCCTTTGTTATTGGGTGGTTTCTAATAGACAAATGTTCGGAAATGTGCTTGAGCCAAAGCATTATCAAGAGGAAATTGATATCTACCACCACTACATCTTCGTTAAGGATCCATATGTTTTTCAGTCTGTCCTTAGATGGACAGCTATAACGCTTATAGTCATATTTGCAGCTTATGATATATTCAACCTATTTTCCATCCTGTTCATTAGCTCTTCATCAAAAGAAGAGTTGCAAAGCTTAGAGTACCTTCCTGGTAAATTTCCAGAATAATTTATAGACCTGACTCACTGAATCCCACTCAAATATATAGAGAATGCCTTGATGGAGGAAAAAATTATTCGTGAAAAGTTTGGCTACAAGAAAATGTTCGATGCCACTGTACAAGACTTCTTTAGAGCAAGGATGCTGAGATCTGGAAAAATAGACAGACAGCTGACAAGCCAGGGTTCTCTATTATTTGCTGACGCCACTTCTTTCGATATCTTAAGACAACCAAATTATTATGAGAAGTTCAACTATATCATCCCTGCTGAGAGGAAGAAGGATCTCAATTATGATGAGTGCGATGAGGTCAGGAGAGTCCTTGACTTTGCCTTCTATAAAGGCCAATACCATATTGATGAGCTATTTAGTTATAGAGATCCAGCATATTCTTTGAAGCGATTTTATGATACTGGTCGAATCCCAACCATTAAGCCAAAACAATATTATAGATAGATGTTTATTTCAGTTGATTTTGAGTGCTTTGGGGTTTTGGGGTTTTGGGGTTTTGGGGTTTTGGGG